AAAGCTAGACAGCCACTATCCCATGGCTTTCTTGATCCGACAAACAACACATTTCTTCACTTCACATTGCTCTCAGCCAATAGCTGATGTCCTAAGAGTAAATCTAGACCACATAACTTTATGTCGTAATGGTACTCTCAACTATGTGACAGCAGCGTGCTGCAGTGGGTCTCCGTGTGGACTGAATATTTCAGGTAGCAACAGGCTGCGGCAGCCACTTCTTTTAAGTCTCAAGCAGACTTCTGACGGCGTCTCACTAACAGAGTGCTTCTCGTATGTTTGCAGCATGTACGGATCACTCAGTGACGTGGCTGACTGTTTACATCCTGTGCCAACTCAGCTGATGTGTAATTAACATTATGTCTTGATAGCCTGCTGTTGTTTGCAGCAACTTCACGTCATGATTCTGACACATCGACAACAAGCAGTGAACACTTTGATACAGGGCCAAAACGACACTGATGTCTACTTCAGTTTCCAGTGATGTCACCCAGTAAGTAGCCTTCACGAGCATGAGACTCTCTGTGCTTTCACTTAATGGCCATGTCTAGTCAAACTGTTTTGTACCTCATGAAATTAATGATCCACTGTGATGATTCCTATTTGTGTGCATCACTTGAATCTTAGCATTAGGGCAGGGAAAATAAAAGTTTACTCTGTAGACTAAATTTGGATTTGAGTGCTTGACTCTACCACATACTGACTTTATAATTCCAGGTAAATGATAGAACTCCTTTGTACACAGATTGTATCTGTACAACAGGGGTCATATTTATTACCTATCCCTCAAACATACCTTATTCTGAGGATTAAAAAAGATCATGTGTTGAAAGTGCTTCACATAAATGTCTGCTACTACTGCTTAATAAATATTAGAAAAAATATAGCAATAACTGGAGTAGGTGAGGGCTTCAAAAATGCCTGGATTTATCACAGAATATGCAACATGTGGGGGACATAACGGTTATTTGAATGGTCATTCGCAGATTACAGAATTAGGAAATAATTCAGTTTGAGTAAATCAGAGAATTCTAAAGATATTAAATGGTTGTACTATAATGAACAAAAACGTATTAGTGTCATAAGTACACTTTACAACAATGGTATCCTCCAAATCTGATACTAGACCACTGAATACGCACAAGAAAATGAGTAAGAAACACTTAAGTTTTGGTAAGATGTCAAACACACTCTTCTAAAATCAATTGTTCTTTCAGTTTGGCTTGGACCAACATTTACCACCTTCATTTAAAAAAGAAAAGAAAAAGCAGCCTCTTAAAAAACATGAAAATCTATTCAGTATACTCGTAACTGTACGGACTTCAGAATCTAAATGGGGACCGAAACTAATCTTACTTACGACCTTACTTGGAAGCTAAATAAGCGCCCCACATTAGTAAATAATTTATTGTCCTATTTTGAACTCTGCTTCAAATGTTTTTATGAAAGTCTTTTCACCTCAGCAGCTATTCGAGTGTTCACTTTGAACAATGACTTTGCCGCTGGCCAAACCTGACTCTCAATCAGTTTCTATGAGCACAAATTCTGGAGCTGACGGTTACATCTCCAGCTATAACTCAGATAATACACACTCACAAGTGGTGATGAGATTCACATTCTCGCCAGGGCACCATTCTGCCGACGGCAGCAGCAGACACAGCAGGGGGACAGTGCCCTCCCTAGAAAAATGACTCCTTCACCTTTCAGTAATGCAGCCTGCAGGTCCGAACCTACAAGCTGCATGCCAACAGAATGAGAGCTCTCTTTAAAAATCCTAATAAAAACTACCCAGTTCTTCCCAATGGGTCCTTCTCATGGAATCTCCATACACATCCATCTTGATTTTGAAGTGTGTGCATTCAATTTGTCTTCCCATTACATTTGGAATTGAAAGGAAGATTCAATTGTACTTACAACTTCAAAAAGTTGCCAGAGTACTGGCACGTTTATCTCAATACATTCGGCGTGGGATTCTCTGTATGAGTGCACGTATGTACCTATATTTGTGCAAAATTATAATGCTTAAATTTAACTTCAGATTTTAAGATGATAACTCAGGTGGAATAGATCTGAATTCATTACAGTCTGGTAGTGTTTTTTCTAAATTTCAATTATGGAGCATATGGGTTTACATTTAAATTTTAATTATGGGTTTAAATTTTGCCTTTTAAAACATTATACTTGGGGTGCCTGGGTGGCTCAGTTGGTTAAGCATCCAACTCTTGGTTTCAGCTCAGATCATGATCTGAGAGTCATGAGTGGTTAGAGGGGAGTCTGCTTGAGATTCTCTTCCTCTATCCCTCCCCCGCTCGCTCACTTGTGCACTCTCTCAAATAAATAAAAATCTTAAAAAATGTTGAATTTGTTTTTGTTACTGACAGAACTTTCTAGCTCCCTAAAGACATGGTTAATGTTCCTCAAAGATATACCAGTTAATGATCTCAAAGTACTCTAATTCTTTCTTTCATTTCTAAATTCTTTTATAGGGTGATCATCAAAGTATACATGTTTGTCCTGTAATTTCTGATTCTTGTGATCATATGCTAGAAAATGAGGTAAGGAGTAAAGGATTACCTCAAATCTCACTTGGCCAAAACCATGAGGTGATCATCTGATCTCTCAAGACTAATCTAATAAAGTCAATTTTCATATATACAATCAACATAGTTGAAACTCTCTTAGCCTGTCACTTAACCAGACCTCTAGATTAATGAACACTGAATCATTCTTTAAAACATAACAGAAATGATCCAGCAATTATACTCTTTGGTATTGACCCAAAGGAGTTGAAAACTTATGTCTATACAAAAACTTGCCCAGGAGTGTTTATAGCAACTTTATACATAATTGCCAAAACTCAGAAGCAACCAAGATGCCCTTCAATAAGTGAATGAATAAACTGTGATTCACTCAGACAATGGAATATAGAATATTATTCAGTACTAAAAAGAAATGAGCTATCAAGCTATGAAAAGACATGGAGGAAACTTACAAGCATATTACTAAGTGAAAGAAACCAATCTGAAAAGGCCATGTGCTATATGATTCCAATTATAGAACATCCTGGAAAAGGGGAAACTATGGAGACAGTAAAAAGATCAATGGTTGTCACAGAGGAGAGCAGGGCCGAATAGAGAAGGAACAGGATTTTCAGGGCAGTGAAAATACTCTGTATGACATTTCAACGATGGATATATGCCATTATACATTTGTCCGAACACATATAATATACAACACTAAGAGTGAACCCTAACGTAAACAATGCACATTGGATGACTATGATGTGCCAATGTTGGTTCGTCCTTGGTAACAAATGTATCAAGTGATGTTGATGATAGGGGACACCATGGCATGTGTGGGGGTAGGGGGTATATGGAAAATCTCTGTACCTTCCTCTCAGTTTTGTTGTGAACCTAAAACAGCTTTAAAAAGATAAAGTCTTTATTTAAAAAAAGGAAAAATAAAAAAATGTAATGACTAATAGGTAAAACTCTGTGCTTATTTAGAGTCAGCTAGGTTTGTTTGTGCCAATAACACCTGCTATTAAAAATATGGAATTAAAAAAGAGTTTGCATAGTAATGCATGAAGTAGGACTATGAAAAAGAAGCTGCTGTTTCTATGAAAAATCACTTGAGTGATTTAGAAAGATGTGATGAAGTTGCTAATACAAACTCGTCAAAATAGATGTAAGACAGCTATCAACAGGAATAAAATAAAAGTGCTTAGTAAATGCATTTAAGTTCTTGTAACAACATAAAGAAATTAAATGTGGAAACCAAAGAAGAGGTCATATGGGTATGGTTTTCGGAGCACAGATCACCCAGACCTCCAAACAGGAGACCCTTACTCAAAGCAAATGCTTGGGCTTTGTATCAAGACTGCCCAACGTATGTGTGTACAAGTATGTGTATCTTTTGTTAAATTAGTTGACCAAATAATGGTTTCAATCACAAGGCTACACTTTAACCAAATAGGCTGGCTGTTTGCCACGCAGATAAAACTACCTTTGACCGAATTTTTATACTTTTCATGAAGTTACCATGCCACTGTGGCACATCCAACAATAGACAGATAACCTTACATCTGGAAATGACAGTTTTCCTTCCTTAGCATTTCGCCATGTTATTCTGATACAGTCCATTTAAGGTTTGCTTAATGTGTGGGCAGGAATCGACAAGATTTTCTTTTCATATATATCCACTGGGGATAAAATAGCTTGGATTCATCACAGAATGGAATGACTACTACTTAGAAAGTTATTCCTTAATGTAAATTTAGTTTGATGAGTATATTCTATGAGCAAAGGTTATCTATGATTAAAAAACAAACAAAACAGAGAATGAATATCCCAGTAATCTGCCTATATTCAGAATCCGATTGCAAACAAATCTACCAGTCCAGGTAATTTACTGATATAATTATGTGAATAGATGATAAAAATGGAATATTTGTATAAAAATGGGAGCTTCTTAGTACTATGGTTTATCTAGAAAATATCAGAATGATGCAGTTTTTCCCAAGGTATGGTCCTGTCTTCCTGAAGGATTTAAGATCTTTTCAGGGAATCTGTGAGGTCAAAACTATTTTTGTAATAATATTCAGACATCATCTGTCTTTTTCACAGCTACTTTCTCATGTGTGTACGGTGGAATTTTCCAAAGGCTAAATTTCATCTGATATTGCAACACACTGAATGTAGAAGCGGATATGAAAATACAGCCGCATTCTATTAAGCGACACGTTAAAGAGATGGGCAAGAGTGTAAAATAATGCCGCTCATTTCCCTAAATTGTTTGATTCAGAAAAGTTATTTTACATAAAAAGGTTACTTGTGTTAGCATGTGAAAAAATTTACTACTTTTATTTTGAAATGAAATATTTGTGTTTTTGTTTTTTTAGTTTTCATTTCTAACACAGTGAATATCAATAGATCTAACCCAGTAAACAAAAGCTTGAGAACTGTTAGATTGATTGTGTAACAGGAAAATAATTTACTAACCTGAACAAGAACAAAGTAACGTTTTTTCCATCTTTTCCAAACCTTCTGTCCTAGGGCATACAGATATCTGGTAAGAAAAACAAGCAAAGAATATTTTAGATGAATAACGTTGTGGCTCTGTGTAATCATATTTCTTCCATAGGTATTTTTTTCTTGAGACCAGCCTGTTAAAGGCAAAGTTTAGTTCATTTGAAAGCTGAGACAACATGTAGCTTCTGTGTTACAAAATGACTGAGCTTATTCTAGGTTCTTGAAAGGGAATTGATTTATGTGGCTTATCAATATGTCAGTTCTTACTACAAATTGAGCGAAGTTGGAGCTAGAAAGGATAATCAGAGAACCAGTGGGAATTTTATTCTTACACACACTTCTTAGGAGAGACAAAGGCTACAAACTGGGGATAGAGGACTCAGCTCTCAGATGACCAGGGCTGAGGAGTGTGGCCTAAGGAGGAGGTAGCTGTAGAGTCAAGAACCCAGAGCAAACGGTCACTGTCCAGCTGGGTGACCCCAAGTTATGCTGGCACCAATCTTGGTTTCTGTTTCTTCAACTATAAATGGCAGGACTGGGTTTCCTGATTTCTAAGGTCTCTGTCAACCTCATAATTTGGTGGTTTAGCTGATTTATGGAAGTATCTTGCTGCAAATTTCCCTAACTATGAAATTCAGGCAATAATATATGTGAAGAGAATATGGCATAATTCAACATAGTTATTACCCCCAGGGCTTTTAACTTTGCATTGCTAATAGTAATATGAATGGAAATGAATAAAGTAGTCAATCATCTGAGAATAAAACTTTTGTTCTTACTGAATATACAGATGTAGGCATATACATCAAGGAGGAAGAAGATGATATTAAAAATTAATGAAGTGAAGCATATGCTGGAGAGCTATTTTGAAATTATACCACAGAAACGTATACACACCTCCTACAAAAGTGGAAAACATTGTTAGAAGTTTGAAATATGACAAATACAGGCCTGGTTTTTAAATTAAAGATTTTTCAATATTTTATCACTGTCCTTTTCTTCTGAAGTGAAGATTCATCTCTGTAAAGGTTACTCAAACTAAATTTATACACAATTCTGAGTATTAAACTATGGTTATTCATTTATTTGGGGGCTTAAAGTCTTGAGACTTTCACAATTTTTATTTTTTTAATTTTATTTGTTTTTAAATATTTATTTATTTAGGGAGAGCATGTGAGCAGGGGAAGGGGCAGAGAGAGAGGGAAAGGAAGAGCCCACATGGAGCTCCATCTCACAACCCAGAGATCATGACCTGAGCCTAAACCCAGAGTCAGAGGCTCAAATGACTGAGCTACCCAGGCGCCCCAGAGACTTTCACAATTTTTAAAACTAAAATCTTAGCTTGACTTTTTCATTGCTGTCTAATTAAAATAATTCTCTTTTGCAAAAGCAAAGCAAACGTTCTTGCCTCCTTTTAAAAAAGAAATGCAAGATGTTGGCTAAGGTATGCTGAAATTAATGGGCACTCTTTAAAAGTTTTTTTTAACATCCCTTCCCCCATTCGTCCCACCCCAAGCTCTCCCTCCTCTGGCAACTACCAATCTGTTCTCTGTATCTATGAGCTTGATTTCTTGGGTTCTAAATTTTCAGAATCGAGAAAACAAACGTGCAGTTACTAAGAGTCAAAATAAAAACTAGGCTTTTGCATTGGCAATCATCATCCACACTGCCCAAATCAATTATGTACTTTGTTTCAGACACATCAGCTAGCTAGGTGAACTTCTACTTGGCTCGCACAATACCCTTGACACCACGTTGCCTGTGCTCCTGGATATAATGTGAATTCATTTGGCGACTGACAGAGACATCCGCTGCTACCGTTCTCACCTGTTCACTATCTCCTCCTGAGGTCCCTTTAAAACCCTTTGCCCCACCTTTGCTCCAGCCTCTAATTTCTCTTCTGTGGTTTTGGTGGTAGGTGTTTTGCTGCTCTCTTTTTGTATTTCCTATGTAATTTCCCTCTCCTGAAATGCACACACCCAAACTCCTATTACAGGGTTAACAGCAATGACCCCAGGAGCTAGATACCAGAGACACAACAGATGCGCTGTATAAAAGTGCACTCGCAACATCTGCACCAAACAGCTGCCTGGGAGCCACAGAAGACATTTGGAATCACCTTTGCCCATGACCACTGCCTGCTTCTGAGCTCCTTCACGGGTCTCACTTAGCACGCTGCTGGGCAACTGGGTCATATATAAGTGAAAGTGAATAGTGATACACAAACCATCCACACCATCGGCAAGTGTAAGTCTTGCTGAGAGTGAAGGTCCTACACGAGGAATACTACTACCTGCTGCAACATCATTCAAAATCATGGATCGACGAACTGAGAACAATGCAGGATTTCTCTGAAAACAGCAGTGGGTGCACACATACATGGGTATACTGGAGGTTGGGAGAGGATATAAGAAATTGAATAAAAGACAATTTGAGACTGGAACCAAGGTAAGCATTCGAATGTTGGGCTGTGAGATATTTTGGGGTGTTACACTCTAAGAAGAAATTCAATCAAACATATATGGAAGTCACAAATGGACAAATGTATCTAGGAAGCAGCTGGGCAGGAGAGTTATATTCTCTGCCTAAGAAAAAAAAATTACATTCAACAAAAGATTGACTGCATAAAGGAAATGTTATAAATGCTATGTAGCAAAAATGAACAGTTTCTGCCTTCCAGTTTTCACATTAACCAGACTAAAATTTTATGAAATAAAATGGACAGGAATACATCAGAAAAGATAGCTATACTGAATAAGAACACACTGAACTTAATTTCAACAAATTTGAGGGTTTTTTTCACTCAAAGAATGATTTCTGGCAATAGGTTTCTAGCATCACTGTCTAGCTGCTTTTTCACTGGTATAAAATTAGATTCTGGGCATAAGAGATACTTAAAATTGAGGGAAGAATGAAGAACAAGATGTTCATCAATACTGTTTAAAATCAAAAACTCAAAACCGTCTAAGGATCAAACGGTAAGGAATGAGTAAAAGTTGCCACTAAAAGTGATGTCAAAAAAGAATGATGTGGAAAAATTATTATAATGCTAGATTAAAAAAAAAAAAAGCAGTCACATGAGCTCATAGTATATGCATGGGAAGAAAATCCAGAAAGATACATCAAAATATTAAGCCTGCAGTTAATACTGGGCTGTTGAGATTAAAGACGAATTTCATAATGTTTTTTTCTTTTCTTTTTTAATAATCTCTATACCCAACGTGGGGCTCGAACTCACAACCTCAAGATCAAGAGTTGCATGTTCTACTGAACCAGCCAGGTGCTTCTTCATATTGCTCTTTATGCCTTTACATTTTCACAGTTTCTACGCTAAGCATGTCTTCCATTTTTTTTTAAAGTAAGGCTTATTGGTATAGTTTACATAAAGTAAGAATCCTCCATTTTAGGTATATAATTTGGTGAGTGTTGACATAGCAATGTAACCACCAACACAATGGACTTACTGAACATCTGCATCCCTCCAAAGGTTCCTTCAGGTCCTTTTATGATCAATCTCCTCCTCATATCCCCCAGCTCTGCAATAGCTCTTCTGATTTCTGACTTTACAGGTGTTTTTCAGAATGCCATAAAGATGGAAAAATATAATATGGAGCCTTTTTGTGTTTGGCTTCTTTCACTTAGTAAAAGGCTTTTGAGATTCACCCCTGTTGTTGCCTGTATCAGGAGTTCATTCCTTTCCATTACTGAATATTATATTTTATTGTATGAAGTCGCTTCAATGTGTTTATCCATTTACCAGTTGGTGGACATCTGGATTGCTTTCACTTTTCTAGCAATCAAACAAAACTGCTATAAACATGCATGTACAGGTCTTTGTGTGGGCCTGTGTTTTCCCTCCTCTCAGGTAAATATCTAGGAGCGGATTACTGAATTATATTTAAAGTGTATGCTTAACTTTATATGAAACTGCCAAACTGGTTTTCCACAGTGGCTGTACAATTTTGTATTACCACTGACAATGTTTGAGATTATGTCTTATCTTCATTATCAGAAAAAAAATATTATGAAGGATTTGGGGAATATAATCATTATAGAGCCATAAATCATATTTCCAGTATGACAAAGTCAAATACAGTGACAAATATCCTTATCTTTGGTCTCCAGGCATCACGAGTACAGTGGAGAACTCCTATAAGCTTTAATGGTGAGATGGTTTACCAGGTTTCAAGGCTATTCCCAAGTTTGTCATTTGGTGGTCTTAGCTATAGGAGAGTTGAATTGTGGAGAGAGTAGGGAAAAAGCCAAAATCATTTGAATAATCAAATAGTCATAATCACATAATTTCTTAGAAACATCTATAAAAATCAAAATGCATTCTCTCCTTCCTTTTTTTTTTTTTTTTTAAATGTTGAGTGTTAGGTTACAAATTCTCTTTTATGGATAAAAATCTAGTAAGATTTTTTTTTATTTCAGAAAAATATACTAAAGTTACATTTAACACATTATGCTCTACTAGGCAGTAAGATTTAGTTCATTACACTTACATGGTGATATTTGAGTATTCTTAATTCCTGAAAATTGAGTTATTCTATATAGAGACTATATCTGTAACAAATTTTTGAAGAATTTGTATGCATAAACCAATTTGATTTAAAATAGTTATAAAATATAATTTGATCTTTCTTTAATGATTTAGAAAGGACCCTACAGCATCTTGGGGTCATTATTATGAACATCAATTATAACTGTATGATTCTGTAAAGGAGAAGGTATGGTTGATAGAGCTAAATATAGCAACAGTATTAATTAAACAGATCTTTGAAAGTTATTTACCTGTCATCCATTTCTGTTTCATAAAAACAGAGTTTTAAAAATCTATTAATATTTTCCTTTCTGAATTCTGAACAAATTGCTTTTTTATTGCTTTATGAAATCTGATTCTACCAAATAAAGGTGTAAAAAGATCTTCTAGGAAGTGTATTTGTCATTCTGGACAGAGACTACCTTGGTTAGTGTTTTACAGGTCTGTGAGTGGGTCTGCACAGCAGCTGTATTCTCCCTGAATATTTTCTAACC